GATAGGACAGAAAGTGACTTCTATACTTTTAAAATTTATGCAAAACTTAGGAGGTCTTTAGACCGAGCCAACTATATTATTATTTTATTTATTTCTATATTTTATTTTATTTAAAACTTTTATCTTCTTTAAACAAAATTATTCGCTAATCCAAAATCAATTTGTTGATAACCTATTCATTCTGATCCACACAAAACAAAATAATTGTTATCACCAATTAAAAATACGCTCTCCCAAAATTTAATTGGTGACACATTCACACTTGCCACTTCCTCATTAACAAAAGTTTTTGGATAATTTAAATCTAGAAAGTAGTTTATATGAGGTTTAAATTGATTAACAAACTCAGTGAAGAATAAGGTCTCTACCAAAGAAAAAAATAACATACAACAAACAAACATTCTTGTCAATGCTTGATCAACTGTCTTTTGTGTTCAAGGTGTAATGTTGTTGAATCATAAAAAGCATTCAATCCTTTTTGATTATGATTTTTCTTTTCTTTTGATTTTGATTATTATTATTAGACAACAAGAACATTTGAAGAATTAGAAGTTGTCAAGGAATTTGTTTCATCACCCAAAAAATATCATTTGCATGGGCATTTATTTGTTAAATATTCCTGCATTAAGCACTGGTCATATTTGTCAGGATATATTTCAGTGCCTTTGTCCAGTCAATCTCCCAGCATTCTCATTATTTGACAAATAAAGACTTTGAGAATCAAAATATAGAATATTTTATCAAATAATGTTTGGCTTATATAAAACCATGATTTTAGAATTTCAATGATTCATCATAGCACTTTACAAAGTTTTGGAAAAGGCAGGTGCTCTGATGTTGATCATTATATCATTATACAAAAATGTCCTCAACTCTTTTAATTTGTCATCTTGGAGCATTATCTAGTAAAAGCAAAATGGAAATATTTTGCTATTCATAGATCTATTAAATTTGGCAGATAATCATTAAAAATGGACATTTGTGACCAAGCTTTAATGTTCCAACAATAATTTGCTGCCAAAGTTTTTTTCTAGTTGCTTTGGATTTTGATGTTCATGAATCAGAGGGGTTTTTAATTTTTGGTTCCATTAGCATTACAGGTTAAAATTACAGCAGTTATTTCTTTCTTCCAGATACTGACCAATAACAAATTCCCTAAATTTTCTGTGGTTGAATAGAATATAGTTGCTGACTTCATTTCTTTTGATCCAGAAATGAAAACTTTTCATGACTGAATATATATAATCCTTATTTTTGAGTAGATTAAAGGGACATAATAACAAGAGATTACAATGCTTATGCTATCACTATCATATAATCCAAAGTGAATGAGATTCTATTCAGCATGATGGAAGTTTGATTTCATTGGCTAAATTTTGTGATGATCTCCCTTCCAGACATCACGCAAAAATTAAATTT